AAGCAGTAGCTTCTCAACGTATTGCCTCGCGGCGCTAAGCGGGTGCATGCTTGGCTCAGGTACGATCAAGGCTCTGATCGAGCATCTTGTCACACCTACTTTGGCGAAGCAACTCCCAGACGAGATGTCGCAGTATCGTCATGATTTTGGGGCCAGTTTTGGAGAGCCCTGATCAGAGGGAGGCGCTGTCGGGCGTCTTGGATGTCCTCAGACCGATGGCGCTGGCGGCGATGGATGCGATGGGCCCTTTGACCCCTGGGGAGGTGTCCAGGGCGGCGCGGGTGTTAAAGGTTGGTACTGCGGTGGGCATTGATTGTTGGGCCCCTCGGTTGTTGGCGTCTTTGCCTGGCTCCGCTGTGGGGGTCTACGCTGACCCCCTCAATCAGCGCTAGGGCCGGCCGGGGGGGCGCAGGAAGGGCCGGCGCAGATGGGGCACCACGCGCCAGGAGGCCCGGGCCCAGGCCGCCCCCCGCGAGGCCCCCCCAAGGCCCGCGGCCAGCGTCCTCCCTGAGGCCGACCCCCCCAGAAGATTCAGGTCAGCCTCCAGCTCAACCGCACCTTCACTCACCCCGATGCTAGGACGAGAAGAATCTATTGACACAACGTCCTATTGATACGTTCCGGGGATTCCAGGATTTCTAACAGCCTTCGCGCGGGGTGCACTTTGCGTCGGGTACTGTCTACTCTGGCTGGCGCCGCTGGTCGGTCACCCATTCGCAATCGAGCGGTCGCCCGCAGGGGCCTATTTGGCAATTGCTGACCCCCCTTCTCGTTGCCAGGCGCGGGGGGGAGGGGGGGGGGGGGGCGGCGCACTGCCCTGTCGCCCGTCGCCGCGCACCGCGCGCCTCGGCGGATTCCCGAAGACCTGGCAAGGCAAACCACGCGCGACTCTGGCAGATTCTCCGGGGTAAATTTGAAACGCAATCCGGAGGCGTTTTCGAAGATGTCTGGCCTACTTTTGGGGAAAAATACCAGGGCCGATTTTGAAGCATTCCGGGGTCGATTTTGAAAAAATGCGGAACCCATGTTGCAAGAAGTCTGGATTTCAAAATTTTTCAAATGTCCTGCGCGGCGGGCGCATTCCACCCCTCAAAGTCTGTGTTTTCTTATACTTGTTCTGATATAATATATATATACACACATATATATATATGTTTAAAAAAAGGGTTCCGTCTTAGAAAATTTCCGGAACCGCTCGCGCCGAAAAACGGAAGCGTTTTCTGAAACAGTCTACAGCCCAAAAAAAATTCCCGGGAGGTGCGACGGGCGCGGCCTGCTGATTCACGCACCGCGCGGCGCGCGATTGGGCGCAGAGCGCGCCGCGCGTTGCGCCCGCGAACGGCGCCCGAAGGGGTTGCCTCGAAACCGGCGCCGCGGCAGCTGCGCGGACTCCCCAAGAGCAACACAGCATGCAGCTTTTGATCTCCGAGGGCACTCCGATGCGCGAATAATGCGCCGCGCACATCTCGCTGAGAACCTGCGCGACGCAATGCGCTCGACCATTCGTCCCTGGAGCCCGCGCGGAAGAACGGGGCAACCTGTAAATCTTGAAACTATCTACATCAATACTTCATGATCCTCTGAAATACCCAGCCTCTGTGACCATGGCCAGGCAGCGCAGCAGGCCGACAACACGCCAGACTCCTCAGAGTGCGCAAGCCAGCTGCACCGTGGGTCCTGAACAACCCACGCTGTCGCGGCACTCGTGGCGCCGATCGTACTCGACTGCCCTCTCCAGCGATCCCCGCCCCCGGAGTTCCACAGGGATTGGGTCTCCACTATCTCTGAGGACAGCCAGGGCAGGTCGCATAACGGGTTCGGAACGCCATCCGTCGGCGCTGCGCTGCTGCTGCGCTGCTGCAGCTGCTGCTGCTGCTGCTGCTGCTGCTGCTGCGGCTGCTGCGCTGCTGCTGCGCTGCCGGGCTGCGCGCCCTTCCCTTGTTCGTCGTCGGAGGCGCGGCGGGCCGTGTCGCGGAAGTCCTCGTCGGCCACGTCGATCGGGTCGCCGTCAGGCGTGGGCAGATCCTGCGCAGCAGCGCTGGAACACTCGCCGCTCCATCGCCGTCAGGCGTGGGCGGTTGCTCCAGTCGCCGCCGCACCTGCTGGAACACTCGCCACGCCATCAGCGCTTTCACCACCACCTGTCGGCTCAGTACGCCTGCGCTTCGCCTTGAGACGCTCGCGAAGTTCCTCCTGGTCGCGCTTGGCCTGCTCAGCCTTGGCTCTGACCTCTCCAAACATCGCCGTCGCCGTCTCCTGGAACCTCGCTTTGAGCTCCGTCTCGCGCGCCTTGGCCTACCTCTTGGCCTCCTCTGTGAGACCCACGAACTCTGCCAACCCGAACAGGTCATCGCTGCACGTGAGCACCCACTTGCTCGGGTCTCCCGAGAAGATGTCAGCAAGGTTGAAGACCGCCTTGCTGTGCGGCTTGACCATCTCATGCAGCTCCGCGATGGCCTCACGGCACTGATGCTCCTGCACGGCCAGCTGGTCCATGGTGCTGGAAAGCGCCATGTTTTGTCTCGCAGATGGCCCTGCAGGGCGACACACTCTTCCGTCTGTGGCTTCAAAAGCCCCTTTCCAGGGCCCTGATCGTCTTGAACGCTGCGTCCGCCCTGTGCTGTGGGGACGGCTTGAACTCTCTGACGTCCAAGAGCTGTTCGTAATAAGAAACCATGCTCGGGGAATGCGACGCTCTGGCAAGCTGAAGTGCCTGCCGCACCTCCTCAACAGACATGTCGAGCGCTGGGTCGGAAGACTGCACCAGGCCCACAAGCATAGGCATGCCGCTGCCACCAAGCCCAGGAGGCGTGTCCACGCCGTCGCTGCCCTTGCCCTTCTTGGAGTTGCCACCCGTGTCGGCCACGGGCGCCTTCCCACTCTTCCAATGTGAGCTGCCATGCTTGCACCTCGTTGACTCCCAGGGCGTCTTCGCGCATCCACACTGCACGCACTTCCAAAACCTCGTTCCTGCGCCATGAGACGGGGACGTGAAGAAAAGCTAACCTGGAAGCGCGGTGACGCGAAAAGCCTCCTCGCCCTGGGCAGGGCTGCTGGTCGGGGAAGCGGCTGCGATCCCTCAACCACCTCGAGCCCCAATCCCAGAGGATGCGAAGCCCCAGGCAATGGCCTTGAGCCAATGGTTACGGACTCTTCCTTCTCCTCCTTCTCCTCATCCTCCTCCTCCTCCTCCTCCTCCTTATCTCCGCCTCCTCCTCCTCCTCTTTATGTCCGCCTCATCCTCCTCCTCCTCCTCCTTCTCCTCCTCCTCCCCCTCCTGGTCGTCGTCGATGTCTGTCAGGGTCGGCGGCACCAGCCGTCAGGCCTTCACAATACACACTGAACTTAAACATACTCGAGTCAAAGGGCATGCGCCTCTCGCGCCCCCGCACGCAGGCACGCAGGCGCGGCTGGACTGCGTATTCTTTCAATGTCTTCGCTCGCCGCCGTGGCTCGCGATCCACGGGGCTCCCTGGAGCTTCGTGCGAACCGCGCTGCTGTCGTGCAGGCCAGATCAGTGCCGCGGACGACGAGTGATGCTTCATTGGGCTCCAGAGCGTGATACAGGATGGCACTCGCAAACTGCAACTGGGTCTACTGTCTATGTGCAGTCTCGCGGAGAAGGAGCTCCTGCCAGAACCCAGGCGGGGGAGGACGGCCTCCTCGAGCAGGGCAAACAGACAGACCAGAGGCGCGAAGGCCAAGATGGACAAGACGCCGAAGTGGGGTCAGAGGCGGAAAAGCTCATCCTCCAGAAAAACCGTCCCTCCCTCTCCTGCTCCGCCCCCGTCTCACGGGGCTGTGCGCGCGTCTTTCGGGGCGGTCGGACAACAAGGCGCGCACGCACGTCCCGAATGAAGCTGCTGAAGTCGCCCCAGCATCGCCTGGCCCCCGAGCAAACTCCGCGAAACAAGTTCCTCCAGCCCTATGGGCTAGGTTGCGGCTAGGTGTACCCCTCCCCCTTGCCCCCTCCCATGGACCTGGAGGGGTGGGGTCGCGGGTCGTTGGAGCGTCCAAGATGGTCCGATGTGGCACTAGGATGGCCTCAGAGAGCCCAAGACAACTTGCAAGATGGCCTAAGACACCCCACGGTGGCTCAATATGGCCCCCAAGATGCTCCAACTCCGAGTGACCACAAATCCTCTCCAGGAGGCCGCCAAGAGGCCAGCATCCTGTAAAAACCGAAGGACAATCAATGAATTGTGCGTTCTCGCCTTTTCGCTTCCGATGGCCTTCCGAGGCCTCAAGACAACTCCAAGAAGGCCCATGAGGGCCCCAAGAGAGGCCCAATAGAGCCTCAAGACGGCCCCAAAAGCGCACAAGAGCGCTCCAAGAGCGCCCCAAGAGGGCCCAAGAGGCGATGCGTGGGGCTCCCGAGGAGGGAACGTAATTAGAGCTCCCATGTGTTGTGATCGAGCTCCTCCCAGGTGGCCCGAAGAGCGCCCCAAAGGCTCCCAAGAGCGCCTCAAGAGGGCCCCGAGAGGCGCCCAGGAGACCCCAAGAGGCGCTCAAGAGGCTCCCCCAAACCCCTAAGAGGTTCCCAAGAAACCTAGACAGCATCAATGAAGGTGGCATTCTCGCCTATTCGCGCTCGATGGCCTTCCAAGGCCTCAAGATGGCTCCTAGATGACCTGAGGGCCCCAAGAGAGGCCCAAGAGAGCCCCAAATGGCCCCAAGAGTGCCCAAGAGTGTCCCAAAAGCGCTCCAAGAGGGACCCTTCCTCTGTGTGCTGCCCACTTCCCTAATCGAGGCAACTCCTTTGGGCATCGTCTCTGGATGGCGTGGTGGGGTAACTCGAAACGTCAAGAACTCCAACCCCGAAGCGTTATACAACTTGCCCCTAGCACTCACCCGATGAGCTCCCGGCAGAGGGCGCTCAAAAGGTTCTCTCGCAAGACTGCCCAAAACCGCATACATCATGACTGCAAGTGCGTGGCTGGCTTTGCGGCCACGTTGCGCGCTAGGCCAAGACGTCTGGTTCCTCCCCAGGCCCTTCCCACCAGGGCCGCGATGCCACCCAGCGCCTTCTTCAAGAATGCGACGACGTCAAAATCGTTCTGGGTCCGCCTCTTGGCCTTCGTGGGTGGTGAACATACAAAAACCAAAACGTGACCTGCTCCTTGCAAAAGGGGCAAGCGACAAGCGGAAGCGTGCGAACCCAGACCCTCGAGAGCTGTCAGTCAAAGACGATGATTCGAGAAACCACTAAAACAATCAAACCGAAATCGATGTTCAAGAGATCAGGAAGGGTTCCTGAGGGTCCCGTCTTCTGCTCGCTCCTGCCGCCCCCTAGCAAATAATGAGGTAGACATCGTGAAATGTAGTGCTGGTGGTAAAACAAGGACAGATGTGGGAGGCATCTTCCGAGATAGGGCCCTTTTTTCCGATGCAGTCGCGGATCGAAAGCAGCGCTTACGATCTGGACAAATAGAACGCCGCCCGCTTGAAAAACAAACGGCGGTAGCCAGATAATACCAAAGAGATGTAGCTACAGCTTCCATGTTGGGTCGTAACTAGCGTTGGGGATTGTCATTGGTGCATCTGTCGCCGTGAGTCGGCGAATCGGCTGTTGACTGTGGAGGCATGTCCTCATGCTCGCTTAAAGATAACGGTGAAACGCTTCTGCGCAAAGGTAAGTGATCTATAAGCCTGCCCCCAAGCGCATCGTAAGTCGGAGTGTAGTGGCGTAGAACCGTGGCGTATCCGCTGTTGGTGGTAGTCCAGCGGGCGTCACAGGTAGGAGAAATAACGTGCCCAATATTGGCGCTTCCGCCTGCTAGCCAGTAGTCACGCTCTGACATCGCAGTGGCAATAGCGGAATGCCATGCCGTGGGATAGAAGTGCCATAGAGACAGCTGACTACAAATGGGTGAGGCCAGCTCCACTACCAAATAAACATTGAGATAGGCATCGCGAGATGTAGTAGTGGTGGTAAAGGATAGATGTGGGAGGTATTTTCGGAGAGTAGGACTCTTGTCCGATGCAATAGCGGATCGAAAATTGCGCTTTCGATCCGGGCAAATAGAGTGCCGGCCGCTTAAACAACAATCGGCGGCGCGGACGCCCGCTACGCTCGCTCATATGTTACCCAGCCCTCTGACCTTGCCATCCACAGATGTAATTCGACGCCACCCGCCCGCATCAAAATTTAAGCGCACACGCGCGCGCATCAATGTGCACCGCGACCGTTCGTAAACGGAGTAACCTTGCGGCGACTTTCCAAAATGTTGCATCATTCCAAAAGAGTGCTTTGGTGCCAAAGCGCTTCGTTATGGACGGCAAAGTTGGCGGCGGCGGCAATCGCATGGCACTTCCGTACTTAACATCTCCACCAGTACGGATCAAGCCTGCAGTGCGGCCGGCTTGATTCAAGCATGTGAGAATACGCTCTGGATGCGACTACGGTATGGCATGCAGCTGCAGGCAGCTTCGTGTTCGCCAGTTGTGTGCCAGAGCGTCCGAGGGACACTCAATAACCCCCCCCCCATTCCCAAAATAGCTGGTCTCCTCGGGAGGGCCGGGGCACATCTTCCCCTGGGACAAATTGCATGCGGTTACGCCCCAACCAAAGCCTCGGGAGGCCGCAAGGATGGCCCAAGACTTCGATGACTGCGCGAAGGGTCCCAAGAGGCCCTATATCATTGACACTGGAGAGGCCTCCACAGATGCCCCAAGATGGCCCAGGAGGGGTCCAAGACGGCGACAACACCATAAGATATATCTGCGTTCGAAGTATACTACTTGCCATGCTTTTCGGCCCAACATGGCCTTCTAAGGTCTCAAGAGCGCCTCAAGACGTCCCAATAACTTCCAAACACAACCTGGGAGGCTCCTGAGAGGGCCGCAAGACGGCCCAAGACAGCCTCCAGAGCAGCCCGAAACGACCCAAGATGCTGCCAAGACAACCATTAGAAGGTGCCCTAGACAGCCCCCAAGTGCGCCAAGTCGGTTCCTGGATGGCTCCAAGATTGCCAACGACGGCCCCAAAAGGCGTCCAAGACGCCCCCCCTCCTCCTCCTGCTACTCATCAGCAACATCATCAACATCGGCATCGGCATCGGCATCAGCATCAACATCAGCAACATTAACATCATCATCACCAGCAGCATCATCAGAACCGTCACCACCACCAGCGCCAGCATAAGCCTCATCATCATCATCATCATCATCATCAGCAGCAGCATCATCATCATCATCATCATCATCATCATCATCATCATCATCATCATCATCATCATCATCATCATCACCATCAGCAGCAGCAGCACCAGCAGCAACAGCAGTGCGTGCCTTGCTGCGGGCGCTGGCGCTCCTGCTGAGTGTAGGGTACTGCCTGTACCGCGGGCGGTCCTACAGCATCGAACAGGCCACCCAGCTCGCCTCGCGGGACGTCATCTGCGAGGTGCAAGCTTCGCTTGGCCAGGACTCGAGGCTTGCGGAGTACTTCGACTGGCTGCCTACAGCTGGTCGCACTCGCCATCCAAAGGTCGTGCTGAAGACCACCGACGGCAAGCCAAAGATACTGATCTTCAAGTGTGGAGCTACAACTGCGAGATTTGTTTGTACAGTGGTAGGCTCTACGAGTTACTGAGCCAGGCCCTGGAGAAGGACGCAACGGTAGTCAGCATGCAGCCTGCCCAAAGGAGTTTGGATACGTAGTGGAACCATGGTGGGTAAACAATCTACCCGATGGCGAGGACAGCTGCAGATGCCTGTGACGGAGGCTTGATAGCAGTGAGGACGAGCCGCATCCTGAAGGACTGGGTGGTGGCGGTGCATCTGTGGCGCCCTGGGCGCCTGCAAGGACTTCGGGATCGACACCGAGGGTTAGACGGCCGGGCAATGGACTTGTACATTCTGAACGCCTACGCCCCGACCGACACCGCCCCCGCTGGTATCAAGAAATAGTTGTGGGAAGAGCTCGACCGAGTTTTTCTACAATTACCGAGGCGCACGAGCATTATCCTGGCGATGGACGCGAATGCTGTGATGGATGGTGCCAATGGCACGGCTCCCTGGGTTGGCATGGCGTGCTCCCGCGCGGCGGGCGAGTCGAACCAGTGGAACGACAATGGCAGGCGCCTCTACGATTTTTTGAAGGCGAACGATATGAAGGCCTTGAACACGTATGGCAGTGCTCGTTCTCGGTCTTGGACACATATTAGTCCTGAAGGTGCCAGGCGCCGTATCGACTACATCATCACCTGTGTATCTGGCGGAGGCCATGTCCGAACTTGGGTGGATTATAGTGCACCTGTGAGCATTGGGGGATACCGGGACCACCGACCAGTACGAGCCAGTATGAAGTCAGGTGCAAAGATCAACAAGACTGCAGTGGCGAGCACATCTCCGAAGATTGACAGACAAACATTGGTTGATGGCATCGCGAAACTACGCCTGTTGGATCAAGGACTGGATGGATTACCCGGATGGGAACAGATTCGAGAGGAGGCCAGAGGAGCACGGGAGCATATTGACGATCCGGTGAAGCAGATGATGAAGAGCAACCTCAGCCTGCCTCCAGCAGAATTGTATTCGAGGATCCAGCATATCGTGGTGGACGCTCTTCGACGCCCTTTTGGAACAAACCAATACGACATCACCCTTTCGGACAGCTATCTGAAGAAACCCTCGCCATCGTGAAGCAAAAACAGCAGGCCCTCAAGAGGCTGGCGCAGGAGCAAGACGTAGACGGCACGTTCTTGAAGCGACAGCAGCTCTCGGTGAGTGAAGCGGTTCCAGAAGGCTGCGGAGGATGCTGTGCGCGATGAGCGACGCCAGCAAGCAGAAGCGCTTGCTGAGGAGGCTCATGAGGGTGCTGATAAAAGGCGACACAAGGGCGCTGCGCAAAAATATTGACAGTCTCGGACAGAAACCACGAACAACTACGAGAACTGCACGCGCGTGTGATCCGCAGATGGGGCCTTTGGGCAGCAAGTGTTCGACCATGGAGGAGGAGCTCGACGCCCGCTCGAATGCTTTGGCGTACATCTTCGACGGCGAGCCTGTGGACATGAACGAGTCTGGGCAGCACGAAAAAGGTGCTTCGCAAAACCCTCCCCCCAAGGGTCTTTAGGGGGGGGGTCCGGAATCGCAAGATAGCCGAGGTCGTTCCCTCGCTGCGATGGAGTCGCAGAACGATGTGGAGGACCTGCAGTTCACTGTCGCGGAGGTGGAGGCAACTCTCGATGGCGATGGCATGCCCAATTTCAAGGCCGGTCAAGTTATACGTCAAGACTGTGCTGGACAATGGGTTGGAGCTATTTCGGAGATATGGGAACTTGCGAAACCCGTGGTGTCTGAGGCTTTGACGGAAGCCCGGAACGGGACGATTGCGAGAAGTGAAGTCTATGAAGACAAGGAGGTGAATTTCCTTAGAAAGCCCGGCAAGAACAGCTCCGACCCGATCAACGGCTACAGGACCACCAGCTTGCTGGACCATGGTGGCAAAGCGATGATGAGAGGTATCAAGAACAAGTTTTCCAAGAACATCAATGCGAAAGAGTGTCCCAGTTTGGCGGGGCGGGACTAGGGAGGCGAGCGCGGTGGTGCTGGAGAGTTCGGAGCGAATTCGCAAGTGGTGGCAACGTGCACGGGGGCGACGCCAGAGAGCATCGAACAAGCTCCTCACCGCCATTCTCTTCGGTATCGAGAAGGCGTCGGACAAGATAGATCGCAAGCAGGCTTTCGAGGCGTTGGGCCGTATGGCAGAGAGTCATGGACTTACTCTGCTTCTCGAGGAATTGCACGATGGCGGCTGACTAATGTTGAAGAATACCAAGGGCGAGCGCGTGCGCAAGGTGATGTTCAAAAAAGGTGTGCGGCAGGGATCAGTGGAAGGCCCGATGGTGTGCATGGCGTGCTATGACATGATCCTCGAGACTGCAATGATTACACGTACCACGGAGGACATTCCCACCACCCGCGTATATTACGGCGACAAGTGGGGCTCGATCGACGAGGTGGCCTTCGTTGACGATCTGATCTCGTTGGTGGTGTCCTTGGATTTGCAGATGGCGGTGAAATGGATCGGCCGCGTTCTGGACATTTTCACGGAGTTTGGACTGAAGGCAAG